CCCCCCCCGCCCACCTTGTGCACCCGCTTCGTATCGGCATCCCAGACGTAGACATACACCCCGTCGGTAGCAGGGTTACAGCAACCCCCGCCTGCCGCCGCCGCTCCATCCTTGGGGCCGTTCCCGCCACTACCACCAGCGCCTCGCCGGGCACTCGAGGGAGTCGATCCACTTGTGCCTTCGGCCTCGGTGTCCAGGCGTGCCGGGAAAGACGCTGTCCAGGTGCCGGGTTTAGGGATCGAAACCTATACCGCAACGTCGGGGGTGGGAGAACACGCACATGGCAAAAAAATATTGTAGACGAAGCCACCAACGTGAGATGAGAGCGATGGTGTTGGAGCCACCCAAAATTCTCAAGCTCGAGGCACAAACAGGTACTACACCTCATCCCACTATCCTAGGATAGACACACCGTAAGCAAACAAGCTTTCAGATTCCGCAATGAAGCACGTCACAGAGTCAACAACACACACTAGAAGAAGCAACACAAGAAACGGTCGGTAGCCGTGCGGCCTGCTGCGGCGCCACGGAAGGAAAGAGGCCTCGCCCGGCTGCCCACTCCGGCAGAGAAAATCAAGCCCCACCTTGGGAGGCGTGGAGTGGTTCCTGAGTTGCTCCAGGGGCCCGCTAGCGGAAGGGGGAAGTGCCGGCGCGTCCCGTTCCAACAAGAGCATGGCCACCCGGAGCACGTCCGACACGGATCCCGTCGCAACCCCGAGAGACAGGAGCAGCGCCACAGCCTACCCGGACCGATTGAGCCGTGGGGGGGTTACGCGAACCGACGAAGGGGGACGGGAAGAGGGGTGGGGGGCGAGAGAGGGGGGGGGTACGCCAAACGTTTCACTTTGCTGCATAAGGGATCGAGGCTACGTCGAAGAGGGGGTGGGTAAGCGTAGTCGAGCATAGAAAAGAGCAATCAGGCCATTCACGCTGCACCATAGGTTCAGAGAAACAGCTCGTATCATACATGTTCATGTTAAAGCAAAAGAGCTCACGCGTTGAAAAGAACGGCACACATTGACTTTGAGTACAGGACCGGAGCAGAGGGCGCGACATGTTTTCTTGCTGCCCAGGGAAGACACGAAGCTACGAAGTACATGTTTCGTGCGTGCCACCGCAGGAAAACCGTTGAAAGCACCTAACCGCGGCAATAAATATCGCCACAAGCTCGCCCGAAGTTGTAGTATGATCAAACAGGTACCCCGCGGATCTCACACACGGTCACCGTGACAGGCGGCAGGTGAAACTGTCAAGCAGGGAGCCTGTGCTTGGACAAAAAATTAGGGTTCTGAAACGACAGTGGCATGACTACAACGTCGGGCGTACTCAGTCTTCGTCGCGTTCGGTCCGGAGTGTGTCTGAACGTGATTTTGAGAGTTGGGCCAAAGTATACTATACCTGCGTTCTCTCGTCCTTGGACGACCCGCTCTCGACAGTCGCCACCCTCTCAGCCACCTCACGTACTTGCGTCAAAGTCTCGAGGTACGCCGAGGACGACCCGACCTGCAACGGGTCAAAGCACCAAACACCAACAAAGCGTAGGCGCCAAAATCCGAGCGTTTGGACCCAACCTCCAAATGGCCTCTCCGAAACAAAAAAACATGCTTCTAAAGTTTACAGTTTAATAAAAAAAAAACACAGTGAATATTTCCGTGGAAACGGATGCATATACAGGTAATGGCAACGTGTAAAAAACATGGAAACCTGCCCGAGGCCACTTGGCAATGGCAACGGAGAAAATATGTGCTTGCAAGGACACAACACAAACCCGATATTTGTACAATCAAGCATGAACAACGAAGAGCGTTCATTCCAGAGCCACGTGTACCTGTCCCAGAGCGAAAGGTGCGGATGCCTGAAAGAGATCCATGAGGGTTTGCGCCATGCTCGCGAACAACCCTGGGACCGTGGCGCGAAGGGCCCCCATGAGCGTGAGAGACATGCGCATCGAAGCTGAGGTCAGGATTGCGGCTGGGTCCGACTCTCCCCGTCCCTGTAGCGGTGGAAAAGACAACAACGTACACACAGGCACGCCAATATTGTGTGTTAACTCGAGGTGCGGCTGAGCGAGCGATGCCGGCTCTAGTTAGTTTGCACGCCGCACAAGAATCCACAGGCAGTGGAGGGAACTGCACTATAATACAACTACTTCTTCCTCGCCCATCAAACGGAAGCGATTGGGCTGGGTACTGCACCCACCCACCTACCTCTTCGGTGGAAGAGGGAGGGAGAGCGAACGCCGATGAAGCAGCCAACGCTCCGGCGCCTCCCTTGCCACCCGCCTCCGCCTTCATCCTTCTCATCGTACGGAATGCTTGCCGCATGAGAGCCACATGTATGCGCTACATGCGAGAGCGAGTGCATGAGAGGGAGCGTTGGGGGGGCGGGGGGGGGGGTTGAGCTGGAAATAGACCGATGAAAGCCAGACACTTGAATAAGGCCAGGCATGGCACGAGACGCGTGGGGCAGGTATTCAGTACATCCAACTCCCGCTCCCAAGCGTATTACAAGTCTGGTTGCACCCGTCGCCAGAAGCGAACGCATTCGCAATCTCTGGAGTCGCACCTCAAAACGATGGTACTTGTATCACGCAACCACACACGCACAACTTGAAAGCGTCATCCGTTTGTAGCCGCACGAAGACTGACGTCTTTTCATTTAGTCACCGGTTATAGCGCGGCGTATGCTAACAGAAAAGACATTCGCGCGCACGCGCACACCTGAAACAATCTTGATCGCATCCGGGTCGTCGTGGAATGCGTCGAGGCTCGCAAGTAGCTCTTTCCAAGCAGGGGCGGGAAGTCCTCCACGCTCGTGCCCTCGCCGTTGCCCGTGTCCGCTCCCGCTGTTCCGCTAGGCAAGTCTTGCGGTCTAAGCAGTTGCAGCATGCGTCGAACGGCGTCTTGTCCGTGCAAGCCACCTACTGCTCCGACGTCGGCCTCCACTGACAGTCCGGGGGAGTCGTCATTTCCCGGGACCTTACGGGGGGAGTACGGTGAGCGAGTGGCAGGATCAGAGGAGGACTATGAAGAACAGAGGTCTCGGCCAAGGGCTCGATATGACTGTTCGTGATATTAGTGCTCCTCAGCTATGGATAAGCTCTCCTCCTCTATATCCCCCCCTGCCCCTACCGGGATGGCATCAGGGAAGCGGCCTCGACTGCCTTGGATGGCGCAACTGTTTCATCTGCACCTAACGTCCGCAATGCAAGGCGTCTGTAAGGTGACACATCCTTGTTTTGCCACGCCCTGTCGAAAGCACGATGTGGGCTCTCCTACAGCCCATTTCCCTTCACCACTTGCCCACAACACTGCACCTGAAAGATGTCATACTACCGTACTCCGAAACCTAGGCTGGCCTGACGTTAGGTACCTGTTGACACCTCCCTCTTACCGGAAGCATCTCAGTCCCTTCATAGGGCGGAAGGCTGGAATACTCCTCTTCCAAGAAGTCGCCGTTGAACAGCATCGACCCTTTAACCTGTGACAGCGATTTAGCAAGGCGGTCACTCGAAAAGTTTCAACAGTGCGTGTAGGGATGAGCAGCTGGTCTACCGCACATGAGCGACTGCCCAGCGAGTTTGAAACCTTCTTGCTTTGCGACATTCCAAAAAGCAGTAAGCAACCAATATCCCCCCGGCGACTGCACAAACAGAGGTACCTCTACCACCCCGCCTAGCAGGGAAAATACATGCTGGCGCGTGGGCAACGCAGACAAATCTTCCGAACCCCTGGTACCAGGGGAAAATGATAATGTTCGACTGAGAGCAGGACGACGGGTGCTTACCAACCCAAACAACCCGACACAAAGCTATCCATTGGGAAGCGCTAGGTCACCTACTGTACGTGGGCAGCCTAAGCCGCGGCGCAAGAGGGGGCTTGAGCTAGCTTGCTATACGCGTAAGCCTAAGGGGTAAGGGCTAGGTCATCCTACGTAAGGCTAAGCCGCGGCGCATTAGTGGTAAAAAGTTACCAGTAGGTTACACGAGCTGCAATTTTCTGAGCAACCATACTTCGACAAGTAAAACATGACTTTTTCGGCCTACAGTAGTCGGGAACACTACTACAAGGCAGAGAGAGGTGCGCTATGCCACAGCCGAACGTACGTAAGCATGGCGTGTGCTTTTCCTCGGACGGAATGGATCAACAAGGCCTTTCGCATCGCTCTTCCCCCATCGTTCTGAATTGATACGCATGTTCGGGACATTTCCGCTTCTTCGTTCTGGTGTAGAACAGCATTGGCGTGACATTCCTGGTCTTCAGGGACGGACTACTGCTGTTGTGTACATCGCTCTCATGATGATGCGTGCACGTGTGCACCCAGCGTGTTGCTTGTACAGGCCTACTGGTACTGCTGTCGCGGTAACTTGTCCATGTATTGTACCGTGGTCCCCTGCTGCTATTGTATGGATTTCTCTGTTATTCTAGATCGTCGAGGCATCTGCGGTTGACTTCGTGCTGTGCCCCGCGGCCGTTCCCCGTATGCATACAATACAAGGCAGGAACAGCAGTTATGCGTACGCTCAGGTTCATATACATCAAACGTAACGTGCAGGCACTTGGTGCATCGCCGTGCACTCACCAGATGGGTATGGAGCATCAGATAGGAAAGGCTGTGCCGAAAACAAACAAACTTCTGTGAGGTTTGCATACTCTGAACTTCGAACACGGCAACCATCAATGTACAGCAGTATATTATAGTACCACATCTCCGTACAACTATCCGACGATCATGTCCCAAGCAAGGTCGGTCCTTCAAAAATTCAAACGCCCACCGACTTCAATTAAAAAAAAAACACAACGTGCTGTACCAGACACAAACCTTAACCATGCAGCGAGCACTGCCACCGCTCTACGCACACCCATCACGTCGCCTCGTCAGTTGTTGACCATGGTGAGTGCATGGGTACTGCTGTTGGCTCGACGAAGAGTCGCCAAGTGTTGCCTACAATTTATTTGCTGAGTCTTTTCTTGTTCTCACCGAAAGCCATTTCAAGTCCTCTTCCACCACATCAGCGTCATCGATTGCCACGCTGCCGGCATGCTCAAGCACATTGCCCATGCTTTTGCTGTGTTTCTCTTACTCTCTCCTCTCTCGTTCGTTCTCGTTCTCGCCAACCTGCTCACTGCTCACGCTCGCAAGGGTACGAGCAATACGACCAGCACCCCTCAAGCGCGAAGAGCAACAAACGCTCCTGACCCACGTATTGGGGCCAAAATGCCCAGCTGACGATTCTAAAGAATCCCCCAGCTCCAGTCGAGTTTCGCGTTTGCCAAGGGCACTTGCGCACCCGTTTGCAACAACGAGCGACTGCTGTAGGAAGGAAAGTGCTGGAAATGCGAGCGCTGGGAGCTCAGCGCTGGGGAACTGCAAACTACCACAATGGTATATTACGATGGCGTTCTGGTTTCGGGGTCGTGTGTCCCCTGGGTTCCAAATTTCTCTTTCTCCCCACAACAGCAGGGGTCATCACTGCAAGTGCTGCTCCGCTGCACTGCTGTCCAGCCTACCGCCCTCTTCCGCTCAGCGCGGCAGCGGGCATGATGGAGCCAGCTAGCCACCCATACTTCAGAGTTAATTCTAGGTTCGCACCTTTGTGCTTCATCCCTACAACGCACAGAGCCCGCCCACGACCAAGCGAGCCTTGGCGGTTATCAAGGCGGAAGCACCGGCTTGGATGTTCTGCTGCCGGCGCACGAACAGCAGCAGAGGGAGATCATGATGCTCATGGTGGTGTTGATGTTGATAATGATGGTGGTGGTATTGATGTCGGTCACGAGCAGGCTGCGGCAAGGTCGCCGGCCCCAGTCCAAGGGTGGACTGCGAGAAAGGGCAATGAGTCCCTCAACATCAAGGAGATGAACGTAAGTGCGCATGTTGGTCGCATGACTACAGACCAATGCATACATGCATGTGCAGCAGCAGAAGCGACGCAGCTGAGTGCGAGCACAGCGATGCTTTTCAGTCAGCAATGTAAAATTGCCAAGGCTATGCCGTAGGATACGAAAAGCCTACCCATGTGCTCGCGTGGCATTAGTGTTTTCGCACAATATAGTAGCATAGCTTCTGTCTGTTGCTGAACGTGTGCCATGTTGGTGATGATGTCATCAAGATTGCGGATGATCTCGAGCAATCATCGAGTTTTATGGATTATCACCGTTGTATCATACTCCAAGGAGCACTGCCATTGGAAATACTGCCGGACGTCACCTCCTGACTATAGAGACAACCGCAGGTCGAGAGAAGGATATGTAGTTCCACCGTCACCATGCAGGCGGGATGAATAAACCCGTTTGCATGTGAAGCTTGCGGCAACAAACGGAGTCGTCGGGGCTCACCGTGTCGTTCGTGGCGATTGCCTGCTATTTTTTCATCAAGCCTTGCAGCAGCTCTTGTTCGATTCAGACGCACCAAGCTGAGTGCCGCGACTCGGTGTATGTCTACCGCTATCTACATGGAGAAAAATGGCTCGCTTTGACGGCATCTGGTTGCTTTGCCCTTGCCCGGCTTTCGAAACAGTTCAGGAGAAAGATTCGAGTAAGAAAAGTATCGAAAAGAATCGCGCGGACGACGAGGCACAACTCCTTCATCAGCACCGCCAAGGTGCGGGGGGCGCGTGGTCAGTGGCGTGAGGTTCTAAGGCTGCTCGACAAAATGGCCGAGGACGGCATTCCTCTCAACAGCTATGCCTACAACAGCGCTCTGAGCTCGATCGCCAAGTCCGGACGGTGAGTACGACATGCACATTTGTTGAGGGGGAGAGTCAAGAAGTTTGGCAACCTCATGATTCAATGTTTGAAACGATTCCGACGCTAATGTTCCACGGAGGCTGTACCAGCAGTTGGTTGCGCGGAAAGTGTGTTAAAACGAGCTGCTTCTCTCCAGCGGTCGCCATCCTGGGGCACTGTTACGATTTCCCTATTCGCGACGCCTGGCCCCTTGCCGACAGAGTTTTCAAAACTTCTCCCGCAACATGCATGCGTGCCTTACCCGACCTACGCAATTGTGGTGGCACAGGTGGCGCGAAGCATTGGCACTGCGAGACCGGATGCTGTCCGAAGGAGTCAGACTTGACGGCTACACTTTCAGCGCGCTGATCGAGGCCTGTTCCAAGGGGGGTAATGTGAGCGATGGGTTTTCTTGTCTGAAAGCGTAAACCACCCAAAGGGCGAAAGTGGCTCGATTGCTGAGGTTTCTTCATTCACACCGGCCTGATCCAAATAGAGCGTTGGAAGAACCGCGTGTTGGGTTGTGACAGTTTCGCTTTGGCTTCATTCCGAGGCTAAGCACTGCGCCGGTGTTGCGATTCTCCTTAGCACCATTTTTCCACGTACGCTGCTTTATGGACGGAGGGTGGCAACACTACAGCAGCCATGTCGATCTCCGCCCATCAGCCTCTCTCCTCCCATCGCTCGAATAGGTAGCGAAGGGCGTGGAACTCCTCCGGGAAATGGTCGATGCGGGCGTTGCAAGAGATTGCTTCTCCTACAATGCGGCGCTACATGGGTGAGACGAGAATACCGGAGTCGGACGAAAGACTAGTGCAAGCAAACCGCGGTTCACATTCACGAAGCTGACAGCGGTAGTACCGTGTGGCCATGTGATATGAACCGGTAAAATCCCGGTAGACGGATGTACCTGCCTGATACATGGTAGGTCGACCCGAGTGTTTCAAAGTTTCAGGGCCACTCCTAATAGACGTGATCGCCGAACGTGTTTCTCATCGATGAATTCGTAGGTTTTCCATTGAGTGACCTCCGCCGCTCCGCCGTCCGTGGTCAAACTGGCCAGGTTCGTCCGAAATGGCGACTCGAAAAACGCGCTCCTTATGCTCGAAGATATGGTTGCTGATGGCGTGCGGCCAGATGCCATCACCTACGGCACGTTGCTCGCATGTGTGAGTGAGTAGATCCTGACGTTTCAAGCACCGGAATGTTTTTTGGGTGATTGATCGCGGGTGCCTGCTGGTTTGAGGTAGCGACTGATATTCTGCCTCTGACGCTTGAACGTGAGTTCGGATGTAGTCGCAATCGCACGAACTGGGATTTGTTTTCATGTTATTCCCAAGCATTCGTGGCTACAATTCAACTTTTCGACTGGGAGGTTGACAAAGGAAGGGACGGCGGAATCTTTCTCGCGACAACAATTGAACTTTAGCACCGCGGACGGAACATGGAGCAAGCAACTCTCGTGCGCAAAAGGAGTAAAATTATGTCCAGCAACAAACGGGATGGCAACACCCACACACACAACGCTATGATCGTTGTCCATTGGTTGCTGTTGGATTGCATCGTGGTCCGCGCCGATAACTTGTCGTTTTCCATTTTCGAACCTAAACGTGGCGTGCTGATTGTGCCATTTTGCCGTGTACTTGTGACGTTGCCGTAACGGATTCGGCGGTTGTCGGAGGTCGTGTGCATCTCATGTTGCTCTGAAACTCGCCGTTCTGTCGCAGTGTGGGAACTCAGGAGAATGGAAGCTCTGCAGGAGCCTCATGGACCGCATGCGATCGGAGGGAATCACCCCCAACGCTTACAGCTTCAGTCCCCTCATCAAGGCTTGCGGCAAGGTACGTTGCAAACGAAGACTTGTCCTTTTCATGCATGGTCTTTGTGACGGAGGCGAGACGGATGCCAACACACACATCGAAACACCGGCGGACGTGATCGGGAAGTTGCGAGAGGGACACCTGTTTATCGCCCGTGCCTCAACGAACAGACGAGACGAAACACCTTTCGACTTGGGTTCTTAATGTCTCAGCAGGAGAAGTTGACACTCTCTGTTGTGCCTTCCACGATGCTGTTTTGTGAATGACGTTATCTTTGAGCTTTGAGGCCTTTCTTTGCCTTGTTCTGTAGCAACGTGGGAAAAGCATTGAGGCGATGTTTTGTGTCACGCAAGGGGCTATTCTCGCTTCACCAAGACATGAGGACATTGCACGAAGCGTCAGGAATGACGAGTTGCGCTCGATTATTTCACACGGAATACAAGCCCAGCGCATTCCCCACGCGCATATGCTTCGACGTAACATGCAAATGAATAAACCTACTGGAGCGGCCCGCGCCAAAGAGTACGGCATCACAGCGGCGACTGCCTACTACAAGTAGACCTTGTGTTTAAAAATGAATGCGCGCACGACATTGACGGAAGGTGACCGTGCGCCCCCCCCCCGCGTTCAGGCCCCCTCGAGGCTGCCACGCGCGTTGGTGGACCCCGCGAAAGGGTCCATGGGGAAACGTACTCATTGTACATCTATATCAAGAGCAGCGTAGATTATGTAAAAGTCACGTTTGTTTGCTGTAGACTAGTACTACATCGATCTACATAGCCCTTGTGCTTCTCTACAAATTAAGTACAGTAGACTAATGTACATGTCGCCTAGTATGTGCAAAGACTCTTGCATTCCTTCTGCAAGCGTACCATCTACATGCTCTCGTACTACCGTAGACTATTGTTTAGATGTGTTTTCCTGTACGTTCTCTGAAATAAATGGTGATGTCTTCTGGAATACCCAACCGGGCTTCCCTTCGCCTCCGCCGTGTTGCCTATTTCGCCCACGTGCGCCAATTGGACACTTTCTGCCTTCATTCCATCGCCCGCACCTGTTGTGATGTAGGAGGGACGCTGGGCGCTGGCAGTGAAGACCCTTGAGGACATGGAGGCGTCGGGGCCTACACCGAACGAGCACAACTGGCTGATGGCCATCGGCGCGTGAGTGGTCGCCCTGGGAAAGAGGTCGCTATTCCGTGAGCTCCAAATGTCTTCTCCCTGCCTCGTTGTACTCACTCGTTCCCCTCCCTTGTGGAGTGCAGCACTTCGGAGACAAGCTCTTCGGTGACTTGCTCCCAGCATTGCAATGCGATCGTGTTGAAGCAACTCATGTTGCAGTCGACCGCGGAATAGCAGTGGGGTAGTTTCTTCCTTGTAGTGAAGTTATGGTGCAATCGACAACGCACAATATCTTTGTGCCGACCATGGGTGTCGTCCATTTCATTCGCATCCGCCCATAATATGCGGAAAGTATTTAGGCAAATTTATTTTGCATGGCCGGACACGCCGGCCTTGCCCTCTTGCTCAGTGGTGGAGCCGTTGAAACCCGAGTACATTGTATTCTGCGGCAGGAAATCGAGGTTCTTTCGTTTCACCACCACGCTTCATAACAACACTGCCCATTTGTACAGCTGCGGGAACGCCGGACAGTGGGAGGAGGCTCTACATCTGATCGACAAGCTCGAGGCCTTGGCGCAGAGGGGGGAGGGCGTGCCGATGTCGACCACCATGTACAATTTTGGGATTGACGCGGTGAGTGTGTAGTATCATGTATCATGCCATTGGCCCCCGAGGAGTAGGCCAGAGAGGCCAACAGGTTTCAATGCTCTTGGCAACGAATGGCTAGAAAGGGGCTATTCGGGGACCATCCCATCCCTAGGGCGTCAGCGTGTTTGCATGTTGTATACTAGGGTGGTGTGAAGCCATGAGAGAGTAACGCCAGCGCTAGAGTAGCACCTTGCGACAAGCGGTGTTCTCCTCTCGCCGCGTGATGTCCATCGAGATGGCATGACTATCGCGCAGAGCTTGCCGCGGCATCAATTCTACAACAAACCCACACTTGTGCATGGCTAGTGCATAAGTGATACCCCCCTCTTTCTTTTTTTTGTCATGTCGTCGTCAATGAACCAACCCGTCGATCCATCGATCAATGGATCAGTGCGCCAGGGCCGGGAGATGGGACCAGGGCGTGGCGCTCCTAGAGAGGATGAAGAGCAACCCAGCGACGCCGCCCGACGCGCAAACTTACGCTTACCTCATCGACGCCTGCGCCAAGGATGCCAACTTGGAGGATGCCCTGGCGTACCTCACGGAGATGAGAGCTGTTGGATTGGCGTGAGTGGCTCTCTTTTTTTATATGCTCACTCCTCATGTTGTCTGTGATGGTCGTGCCCACTCGTATGCTACTGTAGTTTCTCTTCAGTCTCTTGAGATACAACACCGATTGACCAAAAAGGGAGAAATACTTCCCCCCATCTGCCTGTTTTTTTCTCGAATGGTATAGGTTTCAGCAAGTGCCTTCCTCGCAAAGACTCGCGCGTGGCAACATGTTTAGAGCCTTTTCTGCATACCATGTTTTGGAAGCCCCCGTTGATCGGTGTGCTGCCAAAGCTAGCCCGCTCGTGGAGCTCTCCCTTCGGTCCGCTATGATGGTGAAACAATTTCCGCTGTTCTGCCTGGTCCTACCCCCCCGCATCACCCAGGCCCACATTTTTTGCCTATATTTCTGCGATGAGCGCGATAAAGGTAGCTGGACAGTGGAAAGAAGCTCTTAGCCTGCTGGACGAGATGGCCAAGGGCAGGCTTATTTCAGATGTGTTTAGGTAAGGGTGGGTCGTTACTTGCCGCTTGTATTTCGTGCGCCGAAGATACCTCGTTGTGAGGTGGTTCGTCAGGCTGGATCCTGCTGCTATTGCTGGCTCTGCCTGCTTTGGAGCAGCAAAGCAGCACCGCCGTGTTATCTTGGCGTGCCGCCTTGCCTTCGGCGGGTGGGGTCTATCGAACCTTTATCGAAGGGTGTGTCAAATCTCTTCCCCAACATTTTTTGGGGAACTTGACCGAATCAGCACGGTTGGCAGTCCTAACGTACCCTCGCACGCTGTGGTGATGACATATCAGTGCTCTTGGTGTGTTTTTGGACCGAGACAAGCAAGCTGTGCTCAAACGGTGTTGTGTCGGGAACCCTCCGATGCCTTGTCTTGCCAGAAACCGAAAGATTTAGGATAACCCCCCACCGACTTTTCTTGTACTACCTTTTGCTTCTTGAAAGTAGGAGAAAAAAGGGCGATGTTGAGTTTAATGGCATCCGTTTCTCATATTGTTGGTTGTATCCTGCTTTCGCCTCTTCAGCTTCTACAATGTGGTGGACGCGTACGGCAAGGACGGTCAGCTAGCGCGCACGCTGGTCCAGACCAATGCCAATCCAACGGAGATCGCCGCAGATTCCGAAAACGAGGTGAATCTCAATCCTTACTTGCGGGTTGTGTCATGTCATGATGTTTTTACGCATCGTTATCAAATAGAAGCTTGTTTTTTGCGCGCCATGCCGGGATTAAGGGATCGCGACATCACCGTTCGAATCGTAGTCCGTGGCAGTAAGTGCACGCCTTGCGTAGTGCCTGCCTAGGGACGAGGGTCATTGAATCACTACATGTTTCAGTACACTACGTGACCTCGAACACCCTGTGGTTGACGTCGACGCACAAGCGACGGAGCATCAGGCACCAGTGTTTCGTGACATGGCCTTGAACGGCCTCAGCGGCTGAAAGGGTGATGCGAATTTGAACAAGACATGTGTGCACGTCTCGTAGCAGATGAGATCCGATGCGGATCTGAACGCGTGGCGGGCGGAGGAACCAGACGAACTGGTGAAGCGAATGGAGAACAACGGTGTCGAGCTGGACGTGATGAGCTTCAACATCCTCATCGACGCCTGCGCCAGAGTAAGAGCACAAGCGTAAAGTTGTAGGTAGCCACGTTGTCCGTATGTTGTGTTTGCGGGGCGGGATGGTGGCTTTGGGGGATGGATGTTTCAAGCACATTTGATCTACACACGTTTTTCTGTTGTATGCTGTAGACTCGCAGCCAGTCCATGACCTGTCTACACCGTAACCGCTCTCCCAGCGGCTTTTCCACAATCACATTTCTGTATCTCCAAGCAGCTCAAGAGCTTGCACGGAGGTTTCAGGTCGAAAGGTCCTCCAGCACCCATTCCCCACTGGATCGCATCAGTACAAGAAGTATGGATCAAAGCCAAGCCACCGGGCTTTTCCACTATACTACAGTATACCGCTCATCGGGTCCCGTTGCCGCTTCCGATGTCTCATGTGCCATTTCGCAAGGGAGGGAGTCATTGGGCAGCGGCAAGGCTCCTCAAGAAGATGAAGTCCCTCGGACTGCGACCGAACAGCTTGAGCTACAACCCCATCATCCACAGCTGCAGGGGCGGTACGGACGAGGAGTGGCGGCTTGCCCTTGACCTCCTCGACGAGATGCGAAAATCCGGTCTGACGGTGAGATAGATGTTCAGAGGGTGCCGGCCCGAGTCGCGCCACTGCTATTGCGAACGAGACTGTTGGTTTTGACCCAATACTGGAACGCCAGCAGTTGTTTGGTCTAGTTTCTTCGGCGGCTTGTGTTCAGGGAGGGTTGGGGGTGGGGAGGGCCGGCGGGTGTTTCGTGTAGCTCCTGCAACCACAGCCGTGATCATATCGTCCAGAGCGGCAGTGCTGCTAACACTGCTGCTGTTGCCATGAGGTGTTGGCTATGATGCTTGGAGTTTCTTTTTTTTTTGTCTCTTCCATTCCTTCAAGGTTTCGTCCACTCAAGGAGTTTTAGTGCGGACGTCTCTTTCCGTTCCTACTCCATCAATGCCCAATGGCGCACCTCTTGTTTCTCCTTTCCACTCTCCAGCCTGACGTTATCAGTTTCAACACAGCGATCACGTCCTGCGCGAAGGCTGGGGATTGGCGACGTTCGCTTCATCTTTTCGCGGGCATGAAGGTCGAGGGGGTCACGCCCGATATCCTCTCGTACAACGCCGTCATCAGCGCTTGTGCGAAGGGCGGGCAATGGCGGATCGGGCTCGAGCTCCTGGCAAAGGTACTTACCGTTTTCCTGTGTCGGGAAGATACCGTGCACGAGCGGTTCGACAAGTGGTGCTTCCTCGTTGACCATTGGAGGCGTCGGTGTCCCTGTGGTTTGTAACCGTTATGCAAGCCGGCGCACGGTTCTTCCTGATTCGTGGAGTCGAATCCATTTACATGTATACTAGTATGTTAACTTTACTGCGGTATTTTTTTACCGTCAACCAATCTTGGTCGAAGCGCGAAGTTCCACAAGTACTGACAAAAAAAGCGCCTTGATGGTGCTACTTGCCAACTTCACCTCCTGGTTGATGTTTTCGCTCTGGACGATATTCTGACCATCCCCCTTTTTTTCTACACCCTGCCCTCGGAAGGTGCGTGCGGACCCCACGCTGGAGGCCAACCAGAGAACCTATACGTCCGCAATCAACTGTTTTCAGCAGTTCCAGGGAGGGCAATCGGTGGCAAGCTTGGCATCAACGTTGGCAGGACAAAGCTCTCGCGAGGAGATGCTCCTCGATCCGATACCGACCAGCGATGTTTATCTAGGAGGGTCTTCGGGTACGCCGGAGGGCGGTGAAGTTGGTTGAGAGCACAACGAAAAGGGGCTCTTTGACATTCATGTCCATCTTGAACGTGCTTCGGTCTGTATCTTCGGTCGGTGGGCGACCGGCGAATGGCCCTCTGTGAAGAAGCCAAGCTTTTGGGAGATTCCCTTGCTTTTTTTGGATGGTCTCCTCTTGGTAGCTTTCGAGGCGAGGCGAGGCGAGGCGTGTGTAAATAATCGAAAGTCTTTATGTAGAAAGGTTGAACCCCGCGGTAAGTATACATGATAGAACGTGCAGCGAGCCAACAACAAACTTGGGGAAATATTTGCGCTCGACGTGTGCGCGTTAGATTGGACAGGAGTGGTTAGACGGGTCGGGAGTTGACCAGAACATTATGTACAAGATGGATGATGCATACCTTACAACAAGTGGCGTCTTGCAACGCTGCCGCCATCTGCAGCAAGCCAACGACGTCTCACTACCTAGACTCCGGTTGTTGGCTCGGCGATTACAGTAGGATAGCGGATTGAGAGCAGTGCATGTAAAAACTATCTGCCCGAGAGGTATCGGACATACCAGCTATAGACTATAGATGTTGTGGTGTTGTTTGTTTGGTCCTGTGGCATCACAGCTTTTTCATCGAGCTGGCAATTTGTTGGGAAGCCCGTCAGTTCGAGAATTGGTACCACAACGTTCGAAATATCTCCGCCCGAACATACGTTTTCTACCGCGATCTACAGCAGTGACATAGCAGTGCAGATAGCGCCCGCAGTTGAGAAATATCCGTTAAGAAAAAAAGGTTATTAAACTTTTGAAGAAAATTTTGAAAAAGGTGTAAGAAACACAGCTCGATCTCGGCAACAACATAAGAAATGCCCCAACTAGAAACATGATGGTGCGATACCCCGAAGGCGTAGGAAACAAGGGATAGCTGGGGGAGCGTGTCCAGTAAGAAACGTCCCGCTGCTGCTCCTTCGGTGCTCCCATCCCCCTACCTAGCTGAAGAGTGCATGCGTTTTGTAGGGGGGAGAGTGGTCCTGCCACACATAGTGGACAACCAAATGGCGTCCGCTATACGGGTTTGATGGCACTCGCCACCGCCTCTCTTGACGGCTTTTGATGACGTTGGTTGTCCTCAGAGATAAAAACATGGCAGAAATGAGAAAATGCTACTTCTAAGAAATAAGATAATCAGGAGGATGCGAAAGTCCAAACGAAAGAAATGTAAAATGGACGAATTCGGCTGGTCCTTGGACCCAAAAATAAGGGATTGAGGCTCGACCTGATTTCGACGCGCTTCTGTATGTAACACAGCAATAATACCATGCCATGAACCATGAAACCAACTCATCGCTCTATATTTGTGTGCAGACTCTACTCGACTTCGTGTGAATCAGGCTTCAGTGAGAGGGAGGCGAAAAATCTACCATACCAACACAGGAGTCAGAGACAGAGAGGGTCTTGGCGTACCGTTGCCCAGGTAGAGTGGAACAGGCGAAGCCGGGGATTTGCAACAGCAGTAGTCCACGCGTCCACACGAGGGCAAGCTGGAAATTGAAAATTTGATCTCTCACACGCATTCACAAAGTCTCTCTCTCTGGAGACTACTGCTGCATACCCGCGTTCATTTTCGGGGAGAAGATGCAAGGAACGTGCTTAAAATCGATTTGTTCGTGCTGGTACATTGTTCGCGCGCTAGGGCGCAGTGATGAACATGGAAAAGAGGGTGGAGGGTATAAGAGGGCTCTCAAACCACCCGACCTGCACTTCAAACCACCAAAACATGACGATTGTCCCCGGCTAAGATTATGCCTTCCTTCTCTAATAGTACTCCCTTTTTCGGGTGGTGGCCACACGAAATGCTAGACTCACAGCCGCAACGACACAGCTCTCTCCCTGCTTGTCCAACAAGCCACAAGCCATGCCCCCGAAACGACGACCTACGCCGACTAAGGTTGAAGGTATCAGTGAAAATGAAAAAAATGGCGTCAACAAGGCCGCCGCCGCGACAGCGAAGAGCCCTCCGCCATCAGCAGGCAAGAAGAAGGCACCTCCACCCATCGCCGCCGCAGCCCACGCATCTCGCGAGAAGGGCAAAGGAGCCTTCCTGGGCAAGGGCGGTGTGCTCACGCTAGGAGGTAAGACCTCTGGCGGCGGGCGTGGAAAGGGAAGTGGCCGTGGCAGCAATAGCTCCCCGGGGCGGGGCGGTCACGGTGGCCCCAAGAAGGGTATGGGTGGTGCTGTGGGTGGACGTGGAGCAGCCACGGCAACCAAAGCAGCTACTGCTGTTGAGGGCAGCAACGCGAGCTCAGAGGAAGACGGTGAGTCCGAAGATGGTGGTGAGTTGGACGAGATGGAGGAAAGCAGTGAAGACGGTAGTGAAGAAGAAGAAGAAGCAGCCAAGCAAGTCACGGGTGCCAAGGCAAAGGCGGATAAGTCCAAACACAGCGGTGGCAAGAGGCAGGAGGAGGATTCTTCTGGAGGAGAGGAGAGCGAGCAAGAGCTGCAGTCCTTCATGGAAGCCTTCCCGGGGATGAGCAGCGACGAAGAGGAGGGGGAGGATGGGACAGGGCTGGGTGGGGCTGGCATGGGTAGCGATGGCAGCAGTAGCGATGACGCGGGGAGCGATAGTGATGAAGACGAGGAGGACGGCGGGCTGATGCATGTACGTTTCTCGGGTGTTGCAACAACGCGAGCATCTTATGTCAACAGCAGGACACGTATCGTCGTGTAGGTAGAGGCATAGATGCGTGGTTCGTGCGGTACAGATGTATCATTGTTTGTCGCGTCTGTTCGAGCACGTTGTACATTAGTAACCACGTCAGACACGGTAGTTTTCCTTCGATTCGCTAGTGATGGAATCTACAGGACGAACGCACACAAGATATATACATGCCAATATTTTTGTGTGGCCAGGCGTCAAGGGCCGGCTCTTTTTTGCGTAAATACCTCACTCGCTACCTTCCACAGACGTTCCCCTTTTGATCGCCTAGGGTTGCACGGCAATCAGATCATCAAGTACATTTTGATTTTGTGTTCCCGGCTATCTATCTATTCCCCTGATGTCCTGGTCACCACACCCAGGGGTACGGATTTAGACCTTGCGTTGGGTGTACAACCGATTCCTCGTCTCCGTCTTCACCTTTTCGAGACGGTTTTGTCTCCTGCCACAGATTGAGCGACAGTCGAAGGCCCTCGACAAGAAAGCAGCGAGGATGCAGGCTGAACTTCGTGACGAGGCGAAAGAAGGTCTCGAAAGGGATGTCTTGGAGGGAAGGGAGGCGTTGGGCCTTGTCCCTGCCGGAGAGGGGGACGGGGAGGAGGCGGAAGGAGGCCAGGAAGAGGAGGTCGTGCCTCCGCAGGTGCTCAAGGAGAGAATAGAGTCCGTCATCGAAGTTCTCAGCGAGTTTCAGGTGCGCCCACTTCCTGTGCTGCTGGTCTGCAAACTTGTTGACCCACAATCGGTTTTGTTGTGTCGAATTGCAAGATGCTGCGGTTGGAGTCAGGCGTTTCTTGATGGGACGTACAGTCTCTTTGCTGGCTGAACACGGTTTCGCGTCTGAGACTCGGGTTTTGCGCCTGATACCGTCTGTAGTTTGCGATACGCGGCTGCTCTCTTTGGTCTGTCCACACCTCACCGATGATGAAGCATTTGCGTAGCATGGCGACACCATCACAACGCCGTATAGGACAACCTTTTGCGACCTTCGCTTGCCCATGTCTGCCTCTGCTTTGTCCGTCTGCTGTTTGGTACATACAGGAGAGAAGAGACCCCGCCTTATCGCGAGCAGATTATTTGGAACGCCTGGCCAAAGATCTGAAAGAGTACTACGGCTTCCTCCGAGAGCTGGTCGACATGTTTCTTCTCGTAAGTTGACAGCAGTTCCTTCTCCCGCGAAGCTACTGTAGTTCCAAACAAGATTCACCGGTGTGTGTTATTGTTGCTGCAGTTTTAAGGCAACCGGTTTTGACCTCCATGCCTGGTTCATGCGCTTACTGCGCTCATCGAACCGGCAAGAGGCGCCAACATGGTGGGCGCAACCCAATGAAGGTCAAATTATTCCTTGACAGTTTGTAACCATGGAAATACCTTTTCTCATTTGCTAACTAATTTGTTAAATGCCGCGGATCACAAGCGGGTTGTCCGGCCTCAAACTTTCCAATAAGGCCAAAAGCTCATGGTATTGAACGAAAACCTCCCCCTGAATCGCTGGGTGCATTGAGAATCGTCCTGTCCTTGCTCTCGAAGCTCTAACCGTGTAGTCTGGTTTCCCTTTTGTGCCTGTTTTTTCTGCAAATGACAATGAAGATGTTCTCTCCAGCGGAGTGCGTCGAGTTTCTCGAGGCGAGTGACAAACCCAGGCCGCTTGTCATTCGCGCCAACACTCTCAAGACCCGCCGAAAAGACTTGGCAGAAGTGAGTCAGTCGCATTTCGAGATTAGTTTGGGTTGTCATCCTCTGTGGTTGCCGTCTGTTCTGCGCATCGCTCCAGCTCACCAAGTATGTGTGGTGCATGTGTTCAGTATAGAAAATTAAATTCCTTGTACCCGCAAGACACTCAGCAGTCCAACTATTTTGCTTTACCGCTGACTTGACCTGGTACATATGCTAAAGCTAACGCGAGTCTTTTGATCCACCTTGTTTTTGGGTTTTCATTTTCTGAGGCAACTCAAATCGTATCTTGTCCCCCGCTCGTTGTTTCCTCTCCGTAACCCAGGCGTTGATCAAGAGGGGGGTCAGCCTCGAACCAGTGGCAAAGTGGTCCAAGGTCGGCCTCAAGATCACAGAGTCTCAGATTCCCATCGGTGCCACGCCGGAATACCTTGCGGGACACTACATGCTGCAGTCTGCTGCATCAATGTGTCCAGTGATGGCGCTGGCCCCCCAGCAGGTTCGTACACGAAAGAACCGGGTGAAATCATTCCCCAACACCGCAGCGGCCTCAGAAGATGTTCGAAGCAGTCGACTGCAAGGATTTACACAAAACGTTTGCTTGTTTGTTTTTGTGCGGGTTTATGTTTTCGTCTCACGCGTGTTGGTTTTCCTCGCTTCAGATAACCGTTCATGAAGAAGCATCCCTTGCGATTTTTTGTCTGCCTGCTCTCACCCTCGACATACGGTCTACGCGTACATCGGTATGATGTGCCGTGAACCTTACCCAAAGCTCGATATATTTGCAGCAAGGAGAGATTCACTGCCCAAAAGCATGGAACGCAGTTTCGAAATTTTGTCGGGTTTGGCCACCCTCATCGACCTGGACAAATGAAAATACGAACTTTTCAAGGGGGTGTGGTGTCTTCGTGGAAGTCGGTACGCAGCTGCTATGTTCTGCAGGAACTTACCCATGGCCACCGTTGGCGTCCCGGTCCTTGCTTATGCTCGCTTTTCGTATCTTCTTGTATGCCAATAACCGTACATTGACCCTTTTTTGTGTTTTGCTTGCACTTTCCCGCTGTGTTGTTGGTGACTCGTCTGCAGGGAGAGCGGGTGCTTGACATGTCGGCCGCCCCCGGTGGTAAGAGCACGTATATCGCCCAGCTCATGCGCAACACCGGAGTCGTCATCGCGAACGACCTTCGCCCACAGGTCAGCAGTTAAGGGAAGGGTATGTTGAAGTGCCTCAAGGCACGGGACCTTGTCACAGCAATGGTCTGGCGTTGTCGCTGTCGTGATTCCTGTAGCCACCACCATCGCTGTGCTCTGTGTGGTGACGGTTTGTGAATGGGAAGTGAGTATGCTGTTGACACAACGCGGGTCCGTGCTCGCCTGCCTCCATCTGACGTTTGTGTACAGTACTTGTTTGTCCCGAAGCCACAACACTCGGACGCTAGCTCAGCTTCTGTCACTCTGCAATAGTGCCTCTCTCACCACGGCTGCTGCTGCCCCCACGACCTTCTGCCAACATTCTGACGATTCGCTCCCTCCGTCCACCGCAGCGACAACGGGCGACGGTTGCCAACCTGCACCGCCTCGGCGTGAGGAACGCCCTGGTGTGCTGCCACGACGGCCGCAAGATTCCGTTTAAGGGCGTCGACAGGGTGCTGCTAGACGCACCTTGCTCCGGTAAGCCGTCCGGTATCGTCTCTCACTCAAGCACTCGGGAAGTGGTTGGGTTGCCTAGCGTATGGACGTGTTGATTGGCCGTGTCTTGCCGGCACGCGCTGGGAGAGGGTGGTGTATGTGCACGGTATTGCGCCTTCTGAGGCGTAAACCTCGAGCGCTCGCGGTTGCTGTGACGTTCTTGTGTTGCAGCGAACCGTCTGCCCGCTTCCAATCTAACGCCATCGCTGTTTGCAGTTGTGCAACCCGTTACAATCCCCACATGTGCAACTCCTGAAGTTTGTTTATGGTATTCCGAACCCCACGGTGTTTGTCGTATGGCTTCATTCCAGGGCTGGGGGTGATCTCACGCGACCAGTCGGTGAAGATCCAGCGCACCACCAAGGACATCCTCCGTAGCTCGCACTTGCAGAAGGAGCTTCTCTGCGCTGCGGTCGACGCCGTGAGTGCCAAGAGCGCCACGGGAGGGATCATCGTGTACTCGACCTGCTCAGTCAGCGTGGCTGAAAACGAACAAGTGAGGAGGCGAAAAATATTTACTCGTGAGCTGATTTTTCAGTCAGCAATTGACAAATGTCGATTGACGTGCAACACTTAATCTTGCCAACCTTTTGGGGACAGCTGAGTGTTTACAAGTCCATCGTGACGTCGTGCATTGTATTGCTATTATTCAGTCTTGCGCGGTGAAACGATGTCTCCTATGAGGAATTGCTTCAAGACTGGAATTACCGTCTGAGAAATCCCTGCGGAAACAACTTCGAAGCGGCTGAGTCTGAGGAGGTACCCGTCGCACGCACTTTCACAACACACATTTTAATCAAAGTAGTGCGTAAATCGATTTGAACAAACGTTCGAGAAGATCAGGTTTCTCCCTTTCAACATGTACACTCGGGAAAGTCCAATACTCTGCTTGTACCCTTCCGGGCTTGCATTCCACCCGACATCTCGCGTCGCAATAGCATGATGTTCGTTTCAATTTAGTTCTTGAGAGGGCCCGATGATTTTATCACAGGTTATATCTACATTTTCCACCTTAGCAAAAAAACATGCTGAGAGTACCGTCGACTTCCTTATGAGGGCCTGTTTTTCCTTGTGTTTGATTAGGAGTCGTGTTCATCAGCGATATACCAAGACGGCAGCCCAACTAAAAGTAGGACACATCACCGCGCGGGCACACATGCAACACCAGACGTACCTACGGACATAAATCGTTTCGTCTTGACTTAGCTTTTCAAGTTTGAGGTTCTTTACAGTTTCTTGTCGGGGCTATTGTATGGTAAGCGTAACTTCGAACCGGAACTACCGTGTGAGAAAACACGTTCGAGGCGGCCAGATATGCGAAGGCGTAGTCTCACTAATGGGAGTGTATTTTTTTAATTGTCGGGGTTTCGTTTTTTTTGTTGACTTCCGTGAGATGCTCTGGGGCACGCGCATGGAGTTGTGAGGTGCACACAGTTTTCTCCAATGTCGAGTGCCTCCGCCTTGGAACGTGGTGTGTCACAACGAATACTGTGTTTTGTTGTTTCGCTAATCTCATCTCCTGTGAGGAAATGCTTCAAGACTGGAATTACCGTCTGAGAAAACCTTGCGGAAAAAACTTCGAAGCGGCTGAGTCTGAGGAGATACCCATCATGCACCATCCTTGAAAATATGTTTTAAGTTGTCTTTTCGCATGCTGTACACCCGCCCATGGCACATGACCCAATGGTGCATCGCCCAAGTTATTTCGTTTGTCTCCTGTGTTAAGGGCTAAGGACGTATCACCCGGACCTCATCTACGGAAAGATACTCTTGAGCTAGATGCGCAAGTTAAGTCATATTGGGACACCAACCAAGGGAAAATTATTTGAGAACACGACAGATGTCACACAGGCTTACCTCCTGATTGCTGACAGAAACCACCAATACGATGCAGCGCCGGCGTAGTGGTGTGGTGTTTCCTAGGAACAGGCGGTTGTTTGGAAAAACTCAGATATCGCAAGTTTCTAACCGTTTTTGAGTTGCGCGAGTGAGGGTACCGCGGATTGTTTGTTGCGAAGACGAAGAAGGCGCCCGATGATTATGACTCACGTTATATCTACATTATTTATCAGAGCATAAACTCGTGCTGAGATACCGTCGACTTCCTTATGAGGGCCTCTTCTCTTCATTTGAAGTTGGAACAAGTTCGTTTACTTCGTTAGGGTTGATTAGGACCAACGCATGGTACATAAAGTTGTGCAACGCATGGTACATAGAGTTGTGTTTTGCGTGTTTTTTTACTATTGTGCTAATATTCTCTCCACCTTTCTTGTTTCTTTTGGAATGTCGATGTCTTGTGCCGGTCTATGCTCCCGTGATGAACTGCTTCAAACTGGAATTACCGTCTGAGAACAAACCTGCGGAATAAACCTCGAAGCGGCTTAGTCTGAGGAGAATTGTCTTCCCGATTTCAGCGCGTTCGAGCATATTCTGTTTTGTGTACTACGTGATGCACATGCGTTCAGTTCATTTGGGCGATGAATTGCATTAAACCGGGAGGGTCATCCTTCATTGTGTGTATCACTATCCCCTGTGATGAACTGCTTCAAACTGGAATTACCGTCTGAGAACAAACCTGCGGAATAAACCTCGAAGCGGCTAAGTCTGAGGAGAATTGTCTTCCCGATTTCAGCGCGTTTGAGCATTCTCTGTTTTGTGTACTACGTGATGCACATGAGTTCAGTTCATTTGGGCGGTGAATTACATTAAACCGGGAGGCTCATCCTTGATTGTGTGTATCACTATCCCCTGTGATGAACTGCTTCAAACTGGAATTACCGTCTGAGAACAATCCTGCGGAACAAAATTCGAAGCGGCTTAGTCTGAGGAGAAATACTCGTATACCTTTTCATTATTCTGCCTTAAGCTCGTACAAAAGCACATGGATATTGCGACTCCTAGCGTTCCCTGTAAATCCTTCGGTGTTGGATTTATCCCGTGATGAACTGCTTCAAACTGGAATTACCGTCTGAGTACAATCCTGCGGAACAAAATTCGAAGCGGCTAAGTCTGAGGAGGGTTATGCGTATATCTTGTTATTCTGTCTTGACAGTATGCCCTGGTAGTGCGACTTCAAGCAATCCCTGTAAACCCTTCGACGTTGGATTTATCCCGTGATGAATAGCTTCAAACTGGAATTACCGTCTGAGAACAATCCTGCGGAACAAAATTCGAAGCGGCTAAGTCTGAGGAGAGTTATGCGTATATCTTGTTATTCTGTCTTGACAGTATGCTCTGTACAAGGTTTTGTATTGGTAATGCAACTTCAAGCGTTCCCTGTAAACCCTTCGACGTTGGATTTATCCCGTGATGAACAGTTTTAATTTGGAATTACCGTCTGAGAACAATCCTGCGGAACATCATTCGAAGCGGCTTAGTTGGAGGAGAGTTATGCATGTATCTTGGTGTAACATGTATGTGCTGCGATCGGGTACAATATTGCGACGCCAAGCGCCGTCCACTGTAGCTTCTTCCACTTTCGATTAGGTTGCAGAAGCACGAGGTACCTGGGTCGTAGAACATACCATGAAGGTTTGTTCATGTCGGCCATGATTTTGCAGGGGGGAGTTGCTGTAGCCTCACGTGACGAATAGCTCCAAACTGGAAAATCCGTCTGAGAAGAATCTGCGGAACAAACGTCGAAGCGGCTTAGTCTGAGAAGAAAAAACAGCACTGTAGTGTAATTGAATATTGTGTGTACGATCACAGAAGGCCAGCTTGTTGAATATTTTTGTGACCTTAAGGGTACTGGTGCTTTACTTCTGACACAAGTGAGTAGTACCGTAGGCCACCACCATGGCGTTGTGTAGTACGTACGAATGGCCGTTGCAAAGGCGTTCCTGGTGCTTGGTTCTGTCACATACCCAGTCTGTGCGCCACCATTATGTTTTGCCGGATCTACATGCGCTTATCTCCCATGAGGAACTGCTTTTCAAGACATCCGTCTGAGACCAACGATGCGGATGAATCGGCTGAGCCTGAGGAGAAGAAAGACCAGGGCAGAATATTTCGGGGTAACATGTTTGAACCATTACGGCACATGGCACCGTGTGGTAATGCGGGAATAGACCTCGAACGATACGGGATGATTTTCCATTGGTATTTAGAAGGCCCGTGCTGGTTGGTATCTCCTGTATTTAGGTTTTGGTGTGTTGGTATCTCCCGTGAGGAATTGCTTGAAAACTGGAACTACCGTCTTGGAAAACCTTGCGGAAAAAACTTCGAAGCGACTGAGTCTGAGGAGACATCCTTACCAATATGGTGCCTGATACATCGTACTTAAATTTAACTGAGGTGTTTCTGCTAGAATGTCGTGTGTGTGCTTTGTAGCTGGTTGAAATTAGAACATCGTGTAGAGTGCAGTGCGCCATGCGTAACCAAGTAGAGAGAGGAGAGAGAGAGCACCCGATGATTATATCAAACGTATATCTACATTTTTTCTCAGAGCTACAACTGTGCTGAGAGTACCGTCGACTTCCTTATGAGGGGCAATCTCTTTCGAACTTCGCCCAGAAGTACTGCACACGGTGGGGCCGCAATACAGTCCTATTTTCCGTTTTTGCCTCAGAGTCAGATAGCAGTCTTTACTCGGTAATTTCATCTCAAATTTAGCTCATGAAATCCAGAACCCGCACACGCACTCGATCGTGTTCATTGCGTGTTGGTAATTAATTGGTTGCATTTCCCGACAAGCAACATGCAGAAACAGAGGGCAACTGTACCTGTTCCGCGCGCTGAGAGCGGGGAGCTTGTTTCCTATGATGAATTGCCTCAAACTGGAATTACCATCTGAGCAATACTATGCGGTGAAAATCGAGCGAGTAACGTTTGAGGATTTCACCCTCTCTCTCCACATTTAGCGCCGAGACGTTATTCAAGTGCCCGTGATTTTGTGGATATCATCGTCCGCAAGAACCACGCATAATTTTTTTGCACGGCGAACGGGCAACTCGTCCACCTTGGTAAATACAGCAAAAGGCTTCCGCCCTCAAGAGCAGCATGTTGAAGTGAGGGCAGCGTTTTTATCCCCGTCCTGAGCGGACGGTTCGAAACAAGCCTATCTTGAAAATGATCATCTTTCGCAGTAACGGTGATCGATATAATTTCTCTACACCCGCCCACGTTCCGTCCCGCAGGTGATCGAGTACATCCTGCAGAAGCGATACGTTAAGCTTGTGCCCACCGGGCTCGACTTCGGCAGGCCCGGTTTCAGTCGCTTCCAGGAGAGAAGATTCCATCCCAGCATGAATCTGACCAGAAGGTGCGCTAGTAATCTCTCAAGAAGAGCTGTGGGCACTTTGCTCGAGAGTTGTGTGGGTCTGCTGCAGAAGTCATGTATACGGTGGCTGGCTTGTGATTTTTTAGCTTCGGGGACACTGCCTCGTTCTTCGTTACTGCTGCGTGTCGTTTTCATTGTGTCTCCTGCTGCAGACATGCGACCGTTTTGCTTGGTGTACTTCAGCCTCTTCAGGCGTTATCGGTGTTGTGGTTGGCAACCCATCGGTACAATACAACGATAAAAAGGAGGGCGCATCAAAGGAACAGCGTTTAGTTTGGTGCGCACCACGATGTGATCAATCAGCAAGTCTGTACGTGCACAGTACTCCCACCTTGGATGGAACCTTCTAGCGTGCGTTTTGCATCACGCCCGATTCATCATCAGGTTTTACCCTCACGTGCACAACATGGACGGTTTCTTCGTGGCAAAGCTGAAGAAGTTTGCGCCGGGGGAAAGGAAGGCGGTATCCACGGGGGCGGGAGTACCCGACAAGGATGCCCCAGAAGCGAACGAGGCTGGTGCTGTCGGTGCCGCGAACGAGATGGACGTCGACTACAGGTTCGTCCGTTTCCTCCTGTTGATCCCGTTTTCTTTCCGTCTTCACGGGCGTTCACGGGCGCTTAGTTCTTTACAACTACAGTAGTGGCGTTGGCGACGAACTGTTGCCGGTTGCGTTCAACATTTTTCAAACCTTATCTGCTTGGTGTCTGTTTGTCCATTGTATGTTATGTACATCAGCGCGAGCGACGAGGACGAGGACTCCAAGACAAAGCGAAAGCGTGCCAAGAAGGAGGCCAAGCGTGACGCCAAGAACAACGCCAAGGCACAAGAGGCGGTGGGAGCCGAGGTGAGACGCGCCAGCCGGGGCGCGTTTGTTCGTGGCCGACTCAGATCCTTCGTATGAACAAAGGATTTGTTTGTGCAACAAGGCCTAAACTCTAAATTCATCAGGTTCCGGTGCCCTCGAACGGGCAGTCTTCGGTAACCCCCAAGTAACCAATTAAAAAGGTCATGCTTTTAATGCTCACGTCGTTGTTTAAAGATCGATGTACAATGATCCAGTCCGACGGCCGTTTGGTGATGCACGCGTGACGGTGCTGTGTTTTGCTGCAGTCGTCTTGTAAATCCGACTGGACTCACTCATTGGTCGCCCACCCCACTATTTCCTTGGCCTCCTCTTTTCCTTCAGATCAAGGAAGTAAACAGCGACGAAGAGGAAGACGATGGCGGAGGATCAAGGCCTGCGGCAAAAAAATCGAAGCCCGATCCCACCGCCACCGCAAACGGCCACAGCACACCAGGCAGAGGCACAGGTAGAGATAGAAGGGCTGCTCGTGGAGATGGCGGCGGAAGAGGGGGGGGAGGCTCCGCAGGATCACTCGGTCGGGGTACAAGTCGAGGGGGCCGTGGGAAATCATCTTCTGGGGGACGTTCGTCAGGAGGGTATGCGTCGGCCGGCCGAAACCCGGGCGGGTTCGGCGGGGGGCGTTCGTTTGGCGGGGGTAGGGGGGGCGGTAGAGGCCAAGGGAGGGGGGGTCGCGACGGCGGTCGGGGTGGTGGAGGACGAGGAGGCCGTGGGCGTGGCGGTGGTCGAGGGAGAGGACGGGGCAGAGGTGGAGGTAGAGGGCGAGGACGGGGGTAGACTGAAATTTAAAATGCTAGGGACGGGTTTGTGTCCCTGTCGGGTGTGTGACATGCCGTGTTCTTGTGGGTGGTGATGTTGTTGCATGTGGGTGTTGTCTAATTATCCACAACCGTAGATGCTGGATCATAGGTTGGTGCTGAACCAGAGAGCCTCAGCGTAGATTAGGTGCTGGAATAATCGATCCTTCGAAGCGCTCTCCGAGAACCATGGAAACTGAGAGGCAAGCCAGTGCAAGCACAGTTGTACCCATATTCCACGTGCCGCTTGCTGGCATGAATGGGCAGCCTGCTTGTGGCACCACCCAGCTCTCTGGACCTCCTCTTGTTGCCCAACATCGCGACCAATGTGCCTGCCTGTTCCTCGGTACAAGAGGGGGCTAAAGTAAAGCTACCTCGCCTTTGGAACTCTTGTCCACGTCGCCTACGGACAGACACACGTTTCGGGTTGCACGAAAGGAAGTAGGTGTCAATTTTCACTCGCCAAAACCCAAACAAGACCGTGAAGCTTCCCATTGAATTGCGTCAGGCGTACTTTCTTTAAACCGATTTAGCCGCACGAGCACCCGCCAACCAACCACACTTGTACAGCAGAGATACTTCTGAGGGAACTCGTCAAAACCTCGGCAGTCAGTTGTGCCTTCAGCCAATGTTTGAAGCAGTCGAAGCACCCTCCACCGCACGCACCACCATCAGAAGCACTACTTCGATGGCATGCAAGCAATCAAAAACTGAGGGCTCCAGGACTTGAAAGTGAAAGTTAAATGAGAAGGGACGCACAAACATACACGTAGTTTTTGGGAGATGCGCGCAACCCCTGTTCGAAAGGATAGTCAATCATCGGATCTCCGCCAGGGAAGGAGGGGGCCTAGATGCGAATCAAACCGACTTCGTAACGGACGGTACTGCCTTCGAGCTTTGGCAAATTCATCCCTCGGCCTTGACGCGCTTTTAAGTGTGGTCGGAGGATGTTCGTGGGAAAACGAGTGGGCTCAACATGTAGTTTAGTCTAGACTGGCCAGGAGGTTTCTCCCGATACTCCAGTTCGATCGAGGGTTCCTTACTGTGTGGGCGTTCAAAACACAACCGAGGGACCATATTTTTGGATATCCATCACACGCCTGCACCACATACGAAACATCTCAATTTCTTGAAGCCACATGCATGATGCAGGAGGAGGTATCCGACATGACAACCACACCCAAACAGCAGTACCCGCCCGATAAAGAGATGAATTCGTTGGGTTGAAACGATAAATAAAGCCATGATTCCTGCTGTGCTCTGCCAGGAAGAGGTTTCCACTCACAACTTCTGAAGGCGTTGCGAAGCAAATTCGCTGTCACGTCGAGCTGCAAGACGAAAATGAAAAGATGCAAGGGCCGCAACCAGCACACCTGAGCTGCTGGTGGGAGGGTGTCCTGGCGAGCAGTGCTAAAAAGTCTTGTCACGCGTCAACGAGATCGTGCCTCGGGCTCGATTGACAACGGGCGAGGGACTGACACATCATCCCTCTGAGGTATCTGCTGCGCGACCGGAAATTGCGCGAAGAGCGAGACACACAAGGTCGCCGCGCTTGCGTGGATGTAGGCAAACTTAAAAACTTGCGCGCTGCTGAGAGATCAGCTTGTCAATCGCTTTGAGGAGGATAAGGTCAGCGTGCTTCTCGGAATAGGCGGCACTCAGCTACAGCTCGCGATCATCCACTCCTCCACTGGTTGAGGCGAGTGACTAGCGCGGAGCGCAAAGCGACAGTCCCGTGCAAAAGGACCAACGGCGGGTGCAGCTTCGTTGCTACTTGCTTCTGCCGCCGCCACTGCTGCTGCTGCTGCTCCTGAAACACGATGAAGAGAGCCTACCCGGCAATCAACTTCGTGCCTCCGCGGCTAACTGGGAAGCCGGCCCCCGGCTCCGGTCAAGAACGCCGGTTTACGCCACCGCTGATACAAGCGGCGTCCGTCTCCCCTGTTACCGCCAAGCGCAAGCGCCCGACAAGACAATCTTGGAAGGGCCCGAGAAGACGACTGGATCCGCCATCACCATCAAAGGTACAGTTGACGGCATCGACGACAAATGCAGATGCAGGTCGGCGGATGGTGGAAGAAGCAGGGGTTGGAGTCCAAACGCCATGGACCCAAAAGAGCAACAACTGCTATCGGACCTCACGGCCCGTGAAATCTCATCGGTGTTCTTCGTCAGCTGGCAGCCCCGACACCCCGTCGATCCGTAGGTATATGATCAGAAAGCCGCTTGTGATGGCCGCAGAGACGCCAACAAAGTCCAGAAACCACCCGTCTTCCTCACGTCAACCCATCAGCGATAGACATCAGTTGGAACGGATGGGAGGGTTACGGATTCCTGACACGCCAATCCGTCACAAGTCGGAGCCGAGGCGGGACCTCAAGATCGCGCAAGATGAAAGAGCGAAACGTCGTGAAGGCAACCGTGAGATTAGCGATGACGGCGGCAACCGCTGTAGTTGTTCCAGCTCTCTATCCTCTCCTGTTGTAGAGCTGTGCGTAAAGGAGCAGGAGCAAGAGGCAGAGGCGGGCGTTGGGCGGGAAGGGACTACTGCTGTTTTACCTCTTTCTTGCCCTCAAGGGCCGAGTAGCAGCGGAGACTCGGAAGCAGGTTCAGATTCGCCGGACCTTCTTCGGAACTACACGATGGAGACAAACGATAAGCTGCAAGAGCCGGCACAAGGCGTTCCCCAAGATCGAGCCAGCAGTGACAACGCTGGGGGTCCGGTCATGGGTGTTCTACACGATGAAGAACCGGGTTGCGAGGGATCGGATGGGGGCTCGGAGTCGCCCGACCTACTTCAGAGGTATTCACTAGTTTATACTACTTCCGTGCTGAACGGTCCGCAGCAAGCTGCAGCGGCAGGCGGAAGGGACACAGGTCAGCAGTTGTAACGTGTTGCCTGAGGTGAAACACGTCATAGCCAGAACTCCACTATTCTCTCAAGCTCTTGATACGACAGATAGATTCCCTTCTACTAATGTATTGGATATTTTGCTGAAATCCTAAGAGTATTTGTCTTGTGAGAAGTCACTGGTAGAGACGGACGATATTAAAACATCCTTGCACTTTGCTCTTGCTTGCCACAGGCCAGCAAGCTACCTCAGCGCCACCAGAACCTCCTCCTCAGCAAACGAACCAGTCGTACTCCTGCGGCGTTGAGATGAAGCCAGAACGACGTGGTGCACAGGATTCCGCTTCGTCGGCCGCCGAACGACTCGTCCATCTCGCGACGCCCTCACGGCGTGGAGGTAACATCTTCTCCATAATGGCTGAACGGGAAAGGAGGGATGCTGCGGAAGGAAGCGCGTTGTTAGATAAGACAGGGTTGGAGGGTAGCACTGGGACGTTGCCGAAATATGAACCGCCTCTGGACAAAGGATTCGATCATGGGGTGGAAGGTAGTGCCGCGAGGGATGAGGAGAGCGAGACCTCAGCAATGGCGCCGTCTGGCATGCTGCCGACCACGGAATCAACAACTTTGGGGGCAGGGAGTAGACAAGACACAGCGCAAGACGAGGGTTTCTCGGCCAGGTTGCCGAAGTTACCGACAAAATCGGCGGCAGGGTGGAATGTGGATCGATCAGGGGATGCCCGCTGCAGCCACGGTTGCCTAGGCCTCCTCAAGGTTGACAAGGTCGGCACCACGGCCGGAAGAATTCGGTGTTGCGCTGCAGGCATAACACCGGGAGTAGATCGAAAGCCTCCCCCCGCGAAAACCAGACCCGCACCAGGGCCAGCCGCAATGGACTCCAGACTTGCGATTGGTGCGACCTATTACGGAACCAAAGCCAATATCATCCAGGCGAGCGTACCAAAAGGCGTCGGACTGGGATCAATGAGGATGCCGAATCCGTACGATCTAGCACCAAAAAAGGAAATGTCTCGTTTGCCAGAAGACGTGCCTAACCCATACAACGTTGTGGGCAACTCTTCCCGAGCTCCTGCCCCGCCCGGGAGCACGTCGGCTCGGGTACCAAATCCTTACGATACTGATCAGATATCTGCCTACCGGGGGGGGGTGCCAGCTGCCGTGCCTAACCCGTACGACACGAAGCCCAGTAGTTCGAGAGTTTCTGTCCCGCCCGTGCGTGGTTCGGCTGGTCTGTCTACTCCACGAGATGATGCTGGGACGACTTCATCGGTTCCTCCCCAGCCGCGTGCACCAGCTAGCGTGCCCAATCCGTACGATACCATGGGCACCTCTTCGCGACTTCCTCCGGCCCCAGTGGGGCGTGCAACAGCTGTTGTACCTAATCCGTACGACAAAGCGGGCACTGCTTCGAGAGGCCCGGCCGCTACTGTTCCCGCAAAGCAGGACGCGAAACCTTCCCCTACAATAAACACGTGCTCGAGTGGCGACACTGCGAGAGCACGAATGGATTCCGTACGGCGTCACCAGGCGAGTGGATCCTCTGCGATGAATACCCGCCCGAGTGACACTTCGAGAGCACCTACGGACTCCGTACCGCGTCAGCAAAACGCGAGTGGATCCTCCCCAGGTGGAAGCTGCAAAACCCCACCGGAGGTCAGGTTCGAGGTAGCGTATCAACAGCTGTATAAGAGCTCGCGCCCTGGGACGGCGGGGAGGGGTGGGAGAGGCCGCGGGAGGGGGAGGGGAAGGGGGAGGGGGTTCGGCAGAGGCACAAAGCGAGGGTCTACGGCTCCTAGACCTGCCCAGGACGCTCTTGTGGGAGTTTGGCGAAGCATGCCTGCTAAAAGGAAAGGAGAGAGAGGCACACAGTGAGTGAGCTCGCCTCATGACAGGGGCGTAGCTGTTCTAGGAATATTCATTTTTGCATTGTCTCAACGAGCTTCGGTAGAGGACGCGCGCGCCTTCTAAGAGTGATCGTCTATAATATGTCGAAATCACACTCCCGGTAGCAGTGAAGCTGGGTAGTGCATTCAGAATTACGGAGACTTCAACCCACTGCATGCACCAGCGTAGCTCAAAGCGGCAGAATCGACCTCCGTTTTCGCTACAGGCACGAAAATGCGAGGGTGTGGAAGCGCTGTGTAGTCTTTCTACACTCCACCGGAGCAGAATGCAACGCCTTAGTGGGCGACATTGATTTGATCAGTTGGATGCGGCTGACGCCTCACCTTAGGACAACAGCAACAGGTATGGTCGAAACCTCATCCTTTTCCTCAAAACTGCCCTTGCTTCCCCTGAAGAACATACTGATAGTGATAACCAGCAAGCACGGACTTGGACATATTGCAGCTCCATTGCTGACGCCTATGGTGTGTCGACAAAATTTGTTGTCCTCCAATGACGTGAATTTCTTGAATATTTGACGTTTCTATACAGGATCTATATGAGTCTGTCTGGGCAGAAGCTGAGCGGGAGGGAGGCTAGCAGGGCTGCAGCAGAGGACCAAAAGAGGGTTAAGGAGGGACTTGGACCTGTGGCAAAGGATCGATCGGCGATAATGAGGTTAGATTATGCGCCCTAGGTATGACAATTTGCCGCCGCACGTAGTGTTGAACCTCCTTGTGAGACGGGTTTCTAGATATTTCTTGCAATGATGATAAGGTGTGCATGTGTGGACGTAAATACGCCCCCCATCGTGGAGAGAAGTTGACATGCGGGTACAGCGCCATTCGACATGTTTTGGGCGTCTGTTTCCTTTATTAATTGCTCCATCATTCGTCGGTTGAGATGTTGAGATCAAGCTGTCTCATGTCCCAATGGACCACTCCTGTACTCACTTGAAGCGACGGCGTCGACTTTGAGATGATGTGGCTTCCCATACAGAACCAGCAGGTAGCTTGTTTGCCACCAAACCAAATCACCACCAAACAAGCATGCGCAGACCACACAGCACGATCGAAGACAACGTTGTACTCCGTATGTGCTTCGTGTTATGGACCATGCTAAACCGAAGCAGGATAGGGCAGGGCAAAGAGCCCCCGTCTTGCCAAGAGGCACACGGTGGCGAGAAGTATCTTCACGAGGACGCTCTCAAGCTTGGGACGTACAAGATACCCGAGCAGCTCGTGGAGTCGTACGCCAAAAGGTACTACCATGCTTCATTATCATAAACTCCTATTGGTGCTAAGGGGTTAAGTCGGTCGATAACGATAGGGGTTTTAGAACTGCGACATTGTAGCCTTACCGAACCTCTCCGTTTGCAATAAATTTCTCATGTTTCACCGCTGGCATAGTAGGTCGCCCCGGTGGTCTAGTGGTATCCTCGTAATCCGCTAGTTGCAGGGGTCGTGAGTTCGAATCCCCATGGGGTGAAATATTTACGAAATGTGCGGGTGAAAGCGAAATATAGCTGACAAGCTGTCGTGAGTACCAAACTTCGACGTTAGCACCGTTGACGAGGGAAAGGGACGGCTGGACCCCTCTCGCGATAAAAATAAATTCAGCACGCACCGCAGGAGGAAGGTAGGGCATGAAAAGAAATAAAAAGAAGAAAAAGCCCCGGTGTTTACCCCCTCCTGTGTGACCCTGGATGGTTGTACTTGTACGAAAAAATACACGTGTACACGTCTCACCACGAAAAATGGGGGGACTGTCGCCATAATAAATAGGACGAAAACACACAACACACACAGTAGCCATGGGTTTGTGCCTGTCGTTCGTTTCATCTTCCACCTGTGTTCGTCCGTACGATGGATGCACCAAATGCTGTGAGGCAGAAGCGTGCGTGTGCCAACGGTTGTGTGCCGACCGCGTTATTCGTACAGTAGGCCTGGCAGGGCGACGAGCGCCTTTGTATCACCATCTCCTGCACTTGACGTGTCGCGACTTCTACTCCCGCTCGTCCTCTGTTTTTTAAGCATATACAAAGTGGTTTTATATTGTCATTCTGTCAGTGTTCTTGCAAGTTCTGACTTCACTTCTCTCTACCCTGGCCGGACTGCGGGAGAAAAGGGGGATCCGAGGACTGTTTCGGTGGCAAGCGCATTGTCTTCGTGTCGACGACGGCAAACCTCTTGGGGGCGGGAATCTTGTATACAGGTACAGCACGCACGACTCGCGACCTAAGATACTTGCAGTAGTCCATGTTGATCTGCAGAAAAGAGACAGCTCTCTTTTACTTGAATCCACTGTGAATGAAGGGTGGACTCCTTCAGGGCACGTTGCACCATCTTTGGTTTTCTGCGCTTAACGAGAAGTTGGTGTCGTATCGCTTAGGCCGTTGCGCACGCCGTCACCCGCTTCTTGATGGCTCGGGTCGCGTTTTGTCAACGTATCGCCGCCTCGAAACGAGTATGCATGTCGCGCGCTCACTTCGATATTCGACGGTTCGGAATCCCACGATTGTTTCCGCGGAGATTTAGCGCGATGAAAATAACCGACCAGAGAATGTAAATTTCTGAAACCCCACGCAAGCTGGCGAGCGAGGCGTACGCGAGTGCCTCCCTCTTCTCGGATGCGTCCACACGTAGAAAGTGATATATATCTTGCCCGCACACCTGTCACACCCACGAATCTACACCGACCTACAAGCGTTTCAAGTTCGACCTTTGTCCGTGTTTTCCATCCATATTTTCGCCTGTCTTACCTTACCCTGTCTTGTTTTCTGTACGCCAGCGCACCAACGAGTGGGGGTAAGACTCTGGTGGCAGAGCTGCTTCTCCTTCGGGCCCTCCTTAAGCACAGCGGGACAATGGCATTACTGGTGGTACCGTACGTGGCCTTGGCGTTGGAAAAGCGCGATTACTTGAGAGACGTCTGGTCGCCTTTACAGGTTCGGCGGAACACACGGAGCGATTGCTTCTATTATATACTCTGGGGTATGATGTTGACGGAACGAGGGAAGGATTGCCTTCGCAAGGGCAAAACTTTGGTAGCTGGCGTATCGAGGCAGGGTAATACTGCTCATGGGCAAAAGGTCAATGGCTGGTGCATCGAAGACGTATGTGTAGCCTTAAGCTTTCTTAGGCAGCGAAACGCATGGAGAAGCGAAAATGGTTTTGAAATGGAAGGGAATGAAGATTTTCTACAGTGCAGTGTACAGGACTGTATTGTTGCACCGGTTTGCGCTCACGGCCTAGGCTACATCTGGCCGGTTGAAGCTGGGTCTTGCTGTAGCTAGCGGATGATGTGAAACGTGGTTTGTGCCGGCAGATGGCAAACTCGTACACTCGGAGGCTAGGTACAAGTAGGGTTTGATGGGTTGTCTTGTTTCATGAGAAGTGAAATCGCACTGTAGCGAGAGAGAGGCTTGGCCATACTCAGGTCATGTCATAACCTTTCCCATGTGACATACATATCCCTGTTCTCATATGGTTATTCTTTCATTCAACGCTTATCGACAACAGCTGAACATCCAAGCTTACCATGGAGGGGAGGGGGGCGACGGTAGCGACATGGAAGGCGTGAACGTGGCCATCTGCACCATGGAGAAGGCTAACTCCATCGTCAACAGACTCGCCGAGGAGCAGAGACTCGCTGTAAGCACTCAATCAACAGCAACTCGTTATTGTCCATCTATTGTGCCGTACAACCACAAGGTCTTTGGTTTCTCTGGTTGTTGCTTGTATGTATATCACTACTGAGAACGAACTTGTGCATGGACCGATACAGAAGTATGAAGAGAGAAAGGCACGGTGTGCAAACAAAAATAACCTTTCACGGTAGCGAGCTAACGAGAGGTCCGTGCCAACGTCCTACGCAAATTGAAGTATTGTCACTATTAGTATGTAGCCTCATACGACGAGTGGTAGAATACACTCCCTGGCGATAGCACTCCTTTGCTAATGCAGGAAGGCAAGGAATGTGTAAGGTTGAAGGAGCAGGTGCAAGAAATCCTGCCATTTTGTTGGCTAGCCTTGGCTTTCGTCCCGCACACGTAGCATACGTATCACTTGGACTAGTTACCTTTATTTCTTCTTTCGTTCAACTTCTTGTCGATGTCGGTGTAGGTGAGAACTTATCGTTCCGCCCTCCCCAGATTGTATCAGATCGTATCAGCGGCATACCATCGTACGACGGTCGTAAGGCGTTAGTCCAATGCCTCCGTTTATAGATGGGCTTAACAATCACGTTGCTGCTGTAGGGTCGATCGATACTTGTCTGGCTGCATGGGTAAGTTCATGTTTCCTACAAATGGTAGTACGCTGTACCAGTGGTGCCGCCTCTCTTACCACCGGCGACGCTGCCCACTCGCACTTGAAGGGGTCGTCGGTTCTTGTCTGCGGGGTCGCCTTCCCTACTCCTCCTTCGACATTCGATGTCTGGGACTGCTTCTTCCTCGCCTTAACTCATGCTCGAGTACCCTGCCACCCCTCTGCTTTGTTCATGTCGGTGTTCTCGGCAACAGGCCTTGTCAGCGGTAGTGGTGGACGAGATGCACCTCATCGGGGACAGGGCGAGAGGCTTTCTCCTGGAGCTCATGCTTACCAAGCAAAGACTCTTGTGCCCCAATAGTGTCCAGGCAAGCAAGTGTGGTGAACTGCACCACCATGTATTTTGGAGTTTTGTTGGTTTGATGGTGTATGGCCTTTTTCTGTTTCTCTGGTGCGCTCTTCTCGAATTTAATTATTGCATCTGGCTTGCGGCGGGCGACCTTTAGACCTAGCGTCGCGACACGTGTGGTCTCAAACAAGCAAGTGGCCGGTACTCGATAGACCCCACGCTTGACGCTGCTCGTACTCCTGTGTTTTTTGGTGTGTCTTTTTTTCATGTGACATCAGTGGTTCAAGAGCAAAAATTGCATTTGGAAATTACTAATTGCAACTCGTGGGAAAGGCAGCGTGGTATGCACTGCGGCTGATTCTGGTTGTCTCCTTTTATCCTGTGGCGCTCTCTGTCAACGTTGATTCCAACTGCGCTGTATCTAGCGACACGTGAGCAATTGCGTAACCGCACCGCATGGCACAAGCCCTCGCGACCCATCAAATCTGCGCCGACAGACCGGTCGAGGGAAACATCGTTCACAAGAATGCTGTAACTCCACCTTTGCTTTAAATGCACCGCCGTCACGTGTAAAAAAAAAAAACAAACACCAGACCCCCTGTCTTCGTTGCCAATGTACCCTTGTTCGTATCAACGTCCCCGACAGGACATATAGCTATGCCCCCCCCCCCCTGCCCCTGACGCTTTAAGGGAGGAAAGACACACACTGAAACCTCACAGGGTGATTTGCATTGGAGATTGCCGGACACATAGACTTATTGAGTGAGGATAGCTGCATACTGAAAGCTCACAGATGGATTGGTTTTTGAGTTTGCCAGACACATAGACGCGCTGCGTGGGGATAGCTACACACTGACCCCTCACGAGTTGAGTGATGTTGGATAGTGCCAGACACATAGACGCTTTGAGTGCGGATGACTGCATATTGAGACCTAACGGGTTGAGTGACGTCTGCTACTGCCGAACACATGAACGCATTGAATGACGAAAGCTGCATACGGAAAGCTCACAGGTTGATTTGTATTGGAGATTGCCGGACACGTAGACGCGTTGAGTAAGGATTGCTGTATACTGAAAATCCACAGTAGCTATTATGAGGAGACAATTCGAGGATGCAGTACACATAGAGCCGACCCCCAACCAGTACCCAAACCCCCCCTGAAAAATAGAGGCCATGCGCCCCCCCCCCTCTTTACCTCCCCCAGAGGATGAGGAGGGTGCAGTCCAAAGTAAGCACAAGCTTACCTAAGGTTAATGCCTATTGGTACGGCATTAAAAAATACTAAAGTCCCCCATTGGGCGGTGGAGGACTTAGAGCTAAGACACCCCAAAACTCTCCGGCGTGAGATCCAAAA